CACATTGACAACTACAAATTACACCCAAACTCAGAAGAGAAACAAATGTAGGCCATATAAATATTTCTCCCGGCCCGGTAATTAAACTCTACGTAGTTCATATTTATTTTATGACTTTCATGTGACAAAAGCACGTATTAACGTACGATCACATGTGGCTTTACAGTATACCAAGGGTATGAATACATATTATTAGGAGAGGACCTCAACTGTAATTCTAGCTACAATGATCGTACGGTACGGTACAATTTGACCAAAATTCTCACTCTTTTAAGTGCTTCTTTTATATTTATTATTCAGTCGTTTTTTGTGACATAATAATAATTTTTTCACTTCTCATGCTCTTAAAGTTCGTATTTATGCTGGGTGTAGGCTGCATACAATAGGATTTTATGCTCTAGTGCGTAAAATAAAAAAAACATCACATTAAATATGTCTAATAAACACACAGTCACAGTAAAACTATTGTTGGTAATTTTACATTCAATTTTAATTTAATAATCGTTTATTTGTAATATTGCTGTTCAATTTCCTCGCAATCGAAGTGAAAAGCAGAGTGTCTAACTCGTTCATAAAACCCATTTTACCCTCGACTTAAGTAATCCTCCTCGTCTATATACTCGTCTCGGGTAAAATGATGCGTTTTATGCACTTGTTGTACAATCTAATAAAATACTTCGAAATTGAAGTCAACAAAAAAAAATATATACATAGAAACAAGTCTACGTAATCGAGCTACGAGATCGTCTGGCGAAAGGTCTACGTCTACGAGCTACGAGATCGTTTGGCGAAAGCTCTATGTCAAATCATGACAAGCACACCAGACACATTACAGACGGGAGATATTTACGTCTACACACCACGGGCCTAAATCAAAATATTATTTATCGCCTCCTTGTTATACAAAAAAACTCATATGTAATTATTTAAAATTTGATAAAAAATTTCTTTGTAGCAATGGGCTCCTTGCCTCGCGTGTCGGTGGTGAAGGGTGCGCGTGCGCACGTCCCTGCGGCGCCGCTGCCGCAACACCTCGCAAGATTGGCGCAATGCGATCGCCCGGCTTTGTGCTACTCAGGTAGGTATTCCTTTTTTTTTACGCATATAGATATAAAATTGATAATTTTGGCTTCCACTTTGACCAAATACAATTATTTAAGGTGATGTGTGCTGACCACAGTTAATTATGGCTGTGGTAACTTTTTTTTACAATATCAAGTGACGGGACGACCAATTCGTGTGCAATAATAATAAAACCATAACAGTTGCAGTGCCACTCAGCGCTTTAAATCGCAAAGATCTGAGGGGCACTGCCACTGCGACTTCAGGGTGGCTGAAACATAAGTTCGCAAGTCCCATGTGCTTGTAATTTCATCAGCAGCACCTTTACCATTCAAAACCGGAATGGTGACATAACAGCATGGCGGCAGAAATAGGTAACGTGACACTACTTCCCCGAACGAACTCTTTCACAAGGAGCTCTACTACTACTAAAATGCTGAAGTCCTTTTGCGTATACGCCACAACTACACAAATGACAGTACAATTTGCAGTCGTTATATTTTGGTTTTTTTGCTTCTTGTCTATTTTGTCTTATTTTGTTATTCTTGTTTTGTTTTTGTGTTTTTATTTTGTTTATTAATTCTTTTTATTTTGTTTTGTTTGTCTAAGTGTTATCAATTTTTTTATCTATGTGCGGCGTTGCAATATATATCTATTCTACTCTGTTCTATTCTATTTATTCTAAAATCGACACTATAATGCCGAATGTATTTTTGGTCTTGTTGTTAGTTTTTACAAAAGAACGTAGTTTTAGTCGTTAGCTTTTAATCGGTAAGTAAGAAGGTAAGGAATCAGTTCAACCTTGTATTGCGGAAATTAAAAACCTAGTTAATTTAACAACTTGTGTATGCAAATTTTTAGTATCCAGTCGTTTTAAAATATTTTTATGTCTAAATCACGAATAATCATAAATATAATTTTGCGCGAAATAATGTTGCTATTTCTCGAGTTCCTCGTAGTTTGTTACCGGTCACAGCAGAAAGTGCTATAATAATAATAAATAAATAAAAAAAAATATTTCGGACTTTGAATTCATAGTGTTAGTAACAAAATAGTAAGTAACAAAATGTAGAAAGGAGCGAGGCGCAGCTACCGGCTTGGTGCCGTGTACAGCTGCACCCAGCGCCTAACCATCGGAGAGTCCCATATGATTTCATTATTCAGATAAATAGTTTCCGCGACGGTTTCCACAGCGGCATGTGCTATCTGCCTTTGTATATAAAATCAATTCTACATAATTACGACTATCACAGAGCTTGGTCAGACATGTACACTTTACTTAACGCTATAAATACTACTGATGTGTTCCGTTGCTTTAGTTGACAGTACTGCTAAGTGACGTTAAAAAAAATTAAAACCACAAATTAGAGCAAATAAGTACTATATATATAATATACAAAATAAATAAACAAAAGCGTTAATACTGTATAAAACCGTAATGTTAACGCATCTCGGCCTTGTGTGGTACTAAGTTGCTTCAAAGGTCAAAACATCTTGCCCTTGGTTTTTACTTTGTGCTCTAACCTACAATGTTATTAATAATCTCTTTATTAACAAAAAATTGGATTTAGTATTATGCATTTTGTCATTAAATTGCTTAATTGCATCATTGGAGTGGAATTGCGTTTCGTATTCAATTTTTTATTTGTTGTATTTGTAATCTTTTGCGTTATTGTGTTGACCCCTGAAGCTCTTGAGATTTTAATTTCTTGACCTTTATAATAAATATCACTCAGTAATCCCCAATTTTTTTCTTCTGCGCTGTACTTTATTGCTGAAAGTTGTTGCAAAGAAAGGTTCTAACAGAATCTTTCACCTTTTTCTCTGTTCGTGTCGTTTCTTTGTGTATGAGGTACTTACTGGTTTACTTGTCAGCTGTTTTTATAGGCCACGTCTTATTGCCTCTAGATGATCCTATAACGGATATGTATTAAAAATATTGCTGATGTGTGTTATAGTGTCCCTCTAAACTATAAGTCTTCTGCTAAATATATGATTTTCCAAAAAAAGATTTTGTGAAAGCCATGTGGTGCACGGGTTATTGAAATTTTTTCTTTCTTTTCCATGTGACAAGCAAATCGAAATTTTTCAATAAATGCTTGCTTGCCTAGCACTTATTATTACAATTATTACAGACGAGACGTGCTCTGTGAGCATCAGCCATGCGGAGCTGTCAACCCGCACGAACGCTTTAGCCCGCGCCATCGCAGCCCGCGCCAGGTCAGTCGGCGCTAACAGAGACGGGGACTTCGTTGTTGCTGTTTGTATGCAGCCTACGCACAAGTGAGTGTCAAGAATGTACTTTTGAAGAGATTTCTTTTAAACCGTTGTTATTAGATTAGATACACTGCAATTTTCTATGTACTGCTGGTGAAATATTAGTGCGAAGTAATTTAGAAAGCGTTATTTCAAAATTCAATTCTCCCTGATCTATTTCGTCTGGCTTTTTTATTTATTTTTTTATAATACCAAGTGATGGGACAAGCAAATCATGCGCCTGATATTAAGCGACACGTCTGTCTATAACAGTTGCTGTGCCACTCAAGAGCTTTAAATCACAAAGATCTGAGGGGCACTGCGACTGTGCCCGTCACCCCGAGACATAAGTTGATAAGTCTCATGTGCCTGTAATTTCACCAGCACTGTCTTCAAAACTGGAACGCAATAGTGCTCATATTAATGATTGGAATCAGAAACAGGTAAATTGACAGTAGTTCCCTGGACGAACTTTTTCAAAGGAACTCTACTGCTGCTAAAAAGGGTGCTATTTTTTAAAGATCATGCAGTGTTGGTCGTATGGCAATTTTATTAATTTATGTTTTTTTTAGCACAATAATGACCTTGCTAGCAACGTGGAAAGCCGGAGCAGCATACGTTCCAATGGAACCAAGCTTCCCTCAGGCCAGGATCTCCCATATCCTAAAGGATGCCGAACCGGCACTTGTTATTTATGATGATGCTGGTGAGAAATATTGTTTGCTATATCCAATGAAAACATCGTAAATCGCATGTTACGGTGGTTTGTATTATGGTTCCATTAGATTTTCATAGACTTAGGATCTTATTATTTAAGAAGATAATAATTAGAGAAAAGTTCTTTTAATAGTAATACTTCTGAAAATTGGACAATCTTTAAATTTTCTGGATGTTTTTTCAGCAAATCCATCAATGTTCACGAGCAGTGGCATTCCAGCCGTATCCTTCGAAGAACTGGCTTTGGAATCTTGCAGTTTGCCAACTGACGAGCCAAGAGAGCATGAGCAGGTGGCGGGGCCCAGAACTGAAAGTATCGCCATAGTGTTATATACTTCTGGAAGCACTGGGATCCCTAAAGGTTAGCAGCACATCTTTACTATACAATTTACAGTTTAATGATGGGTCGTAGGTATATGAAATTGTACACTTATAATAAAACACGATCATAGAATTCGGAAGATTTAGTCCCATATTTGAACTACGGCCGTTTTCAATATTTGCTCGATTATAGTAAAAAATGTACAGGGGCTACGTGGGACAATGTCACAAGTGATCATTGTAACTTTGAATATATAATAAAGAATATTTCATTCTTTCATATGTCAACTTTCATGAATTTGTAATTCAAAACTCCCTCCATAAACCAATAATTTTCCATAGGAGTCCGCCTGTCGTACTCAGCAATTTGCAATCGACTCTGGTGGCAATTCCGTACCTTCCCCTACACTGACACTGAAGTCACCTGTGTGTGGAAAACTGCACTCACGTTTGTAGACTCAGTCTGTGAAATTTGGGGCCCTCTACTGCATGGAAGAACTTTGCTCATCCTGTCCAAGGAAACAACTAGAGACCCGCAGAAGTTGGTTACGGTGCTTGCTCAGAATCAGGTAATTTTTTTTTGGTTGCAATCTGATTTCGTCTTTTAAAATATCTATAAGTATAGTCTTAATTAAACTGAATAAGTTTTTTGTGAAAATGGTGTAATTACTTATTAAACTCTTTTTCTTTTTGTAGGTGCAACGTCTTGTTCTTGTGCCAACTCTTCTGCGTTCAATTCTTATGTACCTTTCTTTGAAGCCGTCTGAAAGACCCCTTCAAAACTTGAAACTTTGGATTTGTTCTGGAGAAACCCTTAACAAAGATTTGGCTGGGCAATTTTTTAAATACTTTGGAAACCACAACAGGTACAAATTGGCAAATTTCTATGGAAGCACGGAAGTCATGGGCGATGTAACGTACTATGTCTTGGAAAAGTCTGAACAGTTGGATTTGCATCCTACTATTCCTATCGGTAAGTTCGTATATCCGAATCAAAATTTATTATTTATATTGTGCGGCTAGTTTTGCTTTTGGGTATTTTTAAACGCATGGTTCCAATGGATAGTTTTGTCATATGTATCTTTTATAAATTAGATCTAAATATTAGATCCCTTACCATTTCATTTACCCCTTTACCGAAAAACTATTTCAATTTCTGTAAATGAGGAAAAGTTTAGTAAATTTTTATTACCCAGGTGGCCCATTGGACAACTGTGCCATCTATCTTCTGGATGAAGAGATGAATCCAGCTCGCGAATCCGACCCTGGCGAGGTGTGGGTGGCTGGCAGCAACCTCGCTGCAGGGTATGTCGGTGGACAGGCCCCGGAAAAGTTCTGTGACAATCCTCACGCATCTCATCCAGGTATGGGTTTCTTTGAAGGCTGAAATGTAAGCCTTTAAGGACATAGTGGGTTTATAAGATCGTGAAGATTGACGAGTTCAAAGATGACTTTGCCAAAGATTACTTGATTTGACGATTTATTGCCATCCGACAACCTTTGTGTACTGCGTTGCTTTTAATATTTAGTATTACTTATATAAACGCCATGCTTTATGTATTTCTATCACAGAATTCAGCCGCCTCTATCGAACGGGAGACTTTGCGGTCCTGAGCAAAGGTGTCATTTTGTACGCTGGACGAACTGACTCTCAGGTCAAGATTAGAGGTCATAGAGTGGACCTGTTGGAGGTCGAAAGAGCTGTGGCTGCTGTGCAAGGTGTTGAAAAAGCTGTGGTACTGTGCTACGGTCTAGATCATGGAAACCCTGAGATCCTGGCCTTCGTAACTGTGCAACCAGACGCGAGAATTGCTGCCAACCACATCGAGGCCACTCTGAAGAACGCGCTCACGTATTACATGATTCCTCAGGTAACTTCTTCTCACTATTTCAATCGTGATTAAAACTTGCATAAAAAGTAGCCTTAAGTCGAAACATAGTTCTAAAAAATATCGAGTTCAAAACCATCGACTTGCTAAATAAAATGGAGTTTACGTTAACAGGTAATTGTCATTGACACTGTTCCTCTGCTAGTGAATGGAAAAGTGGACCGACAAGCGTTGCTAAAGATGTATGAAAACACCAACAACAATGGTAAGAAGAATTAACTCTTATTACGTTAATAATTTGTTTATACTGTGTAGGTAACTTGATTATGAATTTGATTGTAAACTTCATTAGGCTCATGATTTGTCAATACTAACAAGTTCTTACTTTATAGACGACACAGCAATCGCTTTGGAAATCGACTACACAGGTGTAAAACCAGAAGATATGAAAGCAGCTCAAGTACTATTCGAAACTGTCGGGGAGGTATTAGGGAGGGCAGCCAGGGGTGCTCTCTCAGTTCGTGCTGGTTTCTACGAGTTGGGAGGAAATTCTCTTAATTCCATCTACACTATCACTAGGCTGAGGGACCAAGGGTATTATATTGGTAATGATTTTTTTTCATTTGACCCGGCTCGATGGAGCATTTTGTTTTGTCATGTAATTTGGAATATATCGCAAGCGGCTTAGAGAAGATTTTAAATTTGACTTATCAGACTTGACGTACAATTTATCCTATACTACTCTAATCATAGTCGTTGTGAAATTGGTACTTTACATAACATTGTCCATTCTTAACCTCTAGAAATAAGCGACTTCCTGGGAGCAGCCAACTTGGGTGAAGTCCTATCACATATGTCTACGAATCCCGACTGCATGGGGAACAAGGACAACAAGTTCGTGTCTGAACCTATGAGGGATGAGGATAAACAAGATGTTATCAAGTAAGTTTTCGACTACTTAATATATCAAGTAAGTTTGCATTAGAGGTAATTTAAAAGTTACGAACCGGGACATAACAGAATATGTAAGTGCTTTTGGTTGACATTGTTTAATATCTTGTTGTAAGATCAATTAGTCCTTTTGATTGCTGCGTTTTTATTTATTTACTTTTAATAAGGAAGAGATTTTTTTCGTGTAACCTGGCAGTGGTTGTATTCACTTTTCTTTTTTAAGGTCTCCTGAGCATAATTTTTGGATCTTCTATTTTTCAGTATGATAGTGTCTTCATTCTATGAGAAGGCAGAACTTGAGCAATTCTTGAAACACGAGATCGAAACACGTGACTACGCGGACTGCATTGAAGCGTGCTGGAATGCTCTGCTACAGGCCCGACTCAGTGTTGTGCTCAAAAGCGGTGAGAATTATGATCCCAATTCAATATACTAACTTTAAGAACCACAGAAACTCAATCATGACATACACAGGTTATTCGATGGATCCCGTTTCTGATTCCATTGAGATTTGTCAAACAGCAGAAGGCTTTGGTGGAGAATAAATCATAGGCTTGGCCGTGGCTAGTCACCACCCTCCCGACATAGTCGAGTCGCCAAATGGTTGTCACCGTGTTCCGACTCGTGTTCGGGACTTGCCATTAGGAGGTAGGGTCTGAACAGCTGCATTGCGTTTGACGACGAGTTGTAGCTGCTTATACTGCCGCACTGAGCACTCGGTTCTGGAGGCTAGCGGGATCCGAAGCACGGTGCACCGCTGGCCGACCGTGGGAAGTTAGGGGCCCAAGTAGCGGCAAAGCCACCCGTGAAAGGCTGCCCCCCCACCCAACGAAAAATCCCGGAATGCTCCACCTTGCCGGTTGGCGACCAGAGGAGACGACCAGGTGGTCATCTCTGGGGGGGGTTCGAGCGTCCCCGAGCCCAAACCGATTGTACCCTCGTGTGGCAGTGTGAGCTTTGCTGCTTGGTTGAACACAACGCAGTGCCTCGTTCAACTGACTTCCTCCTGCCTATTCACTTCCCTAAAACAATAAAATGAAAAACAGAAACGGTAATAAGTTTACACAGCGGTTGCACGTCCTCCCATTAAAAGTGCACCTCACTAATATCCAAGGTCTGCACTCAAATCTCGATTCGGTCCACCATGATCTTGAAACCGATCCATCTGCTACCCCGGGTATACTCTGGAGCACAGATTTCTACCTCGTGCCGGAGTCTGTGTGTACGTTCGTGATGACATCTGCGCCAAGCGTCTCAAGAACCTTGAGGCACCGAGTTTTTCTGTTTTGTGGCTTCTGGTAGACACAGGAGTTACACAAATAGTGTATTACTGTGTTTACCGATAGCACAGTGGAGATCAGGAGACAACCAAGCTGTTCCAATATATGAGTGAGACGTCTGATGAGATTCAGCATAGGTACCCAGCGGCGCAACTAGTCATTTTGGGGGACTTTAATGCACACCAGCAAGAATGGTTGTTCCGATACCAGATGACCGATCATGCTGGGAGAGAGACGCGTAAACTTGCGTTAACGCTAAGTCTCTCCCAGCTTGTCACTGATGCTACTCGGATACCAGATGTTGAATCTTATACGGGTAATTGCTTGGACCTTCTGCTGACAACTGATCCGGACCGATACTCTGTGGTTGTGGATGCCCCACTGGGTACTCCCGGCCACTGTCTGGTGAAAACTGTATCCGTATCCTCCCCACCTAATCAGGGCCTTAGTGATATAAGCCGGGTATGGCGATACATGTTAGCAGATTGGGATGAAATGCGCCATTTCTTTGCGTCATATCCTTGACTAAATTGCTTTTCTTCAGAAGACCCGTCGAGCTGTGCTGATGCTGTAGTCGAGGTCTTGCGTTTGGGTATGGAGTATTACATACCATAC